GGGGGGGGGTTGCGTTCCAGGTAGAAGCGGCTGCCAGAGCTGGGCCTGGAGTCCCCCTGCTCCCCTAAAGCAGCCTGTGCAGGGGGAGGATGGCCTGGAAGGGAAGGGGTTTGCCCGGCCAGAGGCAGATCCAGTCCACTCCCTGAGCCCCAGTAAAGGGTTTCCCAGGAAGGGCATGGGGACTGCTGGGGCCTGGGCACAGGTCCAAGGAGCAGAACAGCAGGGGCTGGCACTGCTCAGAGCCACAAGGCAGCAGGTGGGACAGCTGCATCTGGACCCGTGGCCTGGTGCAGAGGGGGAGCTACTGCTGGGAGGGAGCAAGTAGGGGGCAGACAGGGGCTGCAGGTCAGGAGTGAGGGGCACTGGCAGGGCTGGGGGGGCCGTGGATTGGGAGTGAGGGGAGTAAAAGTGAGGGGTGAATACTTGCACCCTGTATTTCACCTGGCTTCACCAAACAAGAATACTCCACAGGGAAACAGATCTTTGAACAAGCTACCCACATACCCACAAAACCTTACTACAATACAAAAAGGAAACCCCACTGACCCTACGGCCCTGGTTGTCACATACCATCCCACACTGGACACTATAAGAAAGATAATCAAACAATTACAGCTTATCCTGAAAAAGATCACACCTTGAAAGAAAAATTCCCAACCTCTGCTGCTAGCTTTCAGACAGCTGGCAATACCTACAGAAACAACTCCCTTGGTCAAACAGAAAATGAAACCAGACTGTGCCAAAACAAGTTCAAAACCTGCCAACACATATCCACCAACACCACAATGAACGCTCATCCAACAAAACCATGAGCAATAACGGCCCCTACAACTGCCTGTCACAATCTATTGCATGCCTCCGCCAAAGTACCAGATGCCCTCACGGAAACCACGTTAGTGCAACCGAACAACCGTGATGCTCCAGAACGACCTCCCAGAGAAAACGGTAAAGGGCAGTGGGAGAACACCTTTCACAAAGCAGCCTTTCCATCACTAACTTGACAGATCTTGTCCTCAGACAAAACCTACACAATACCTTCAGAAGACAGAACTGAAAACAGACATCATAATTTTATTAGATACAAAAAGCCATTCATGAGACAATTGGTTTTATGGATCATTATACCTTGACCCCCAACTATACCAACTTCTCTTTCTATTCTAGGTGATAAGTACCCACTTCCCTTTCAAGCGATGACCTTTATTATGCTAAATTAAACACATAATTAGGCTAAAGAAATTGCTCTAATTTGTAATTAGCTTGGATCACTTCCTTACTGAACTGATGAGGAGCACCTGAAGCCTGAAAGCTTGTCTCATCTACGCAAATTATACAACTTGGTTCAACAAAAAATATTACCTCATCTGACAAATCTTGTTCTCCCATAATTTATAAAGCATTTAACACCCCGTGGTGTCTATATAAACACACAGATAAAATCCTGTAGTGATTTGTAGGTCCCCATGAAATCCCCACTATAATTGTGGATTCACCGGTTTGCGGAGTAAATCTCCATGGCCTTTCTGAAGATTTAAAAGCTTTGGCTTTGTTAGCTAAGAGTATTTGACTATACTTACATCGGCGAAAGCAGCAACAGCAATGACTCACCCAAAGATCCAAGAGGGCAGCAGGAATGAGTCCCGCTGGCTCATTATCAATTAAAAAATGTACTATATTTCTTCTTGGAAGTTCATAGTAGATAAAATTCACCATGAAAATAGGGCCACAGAAGGCCCCCGACTAACATAAACTAACTATAGTCATTTCACTGTGTGAGATGTATATTGGAGTTTCCAGTTGTTGCAGATCAGAGAACAACACCAGCTCTGCAGAGGCCGGCTTGGCAGAAGGATTCGGTAATGAGCCCTGCCTCGCAGGATGAGGACACGTATGATTCCTGACAAAGATCGGGAGGGAGGTTCATTCTTTCCCATGCTCCAAATTTGCTATTTTCTAAATGAAGTCCTATATACTCTACAAGTGGAAGCAGATTCTTCTCTTAAGTGTGGAAAATCCTTCAGGTGTATTTGGACCACACTTACATAGAGATATGTTATTATATCCCTTCTCCACAATCTGATGCTTTTGCCAATTTTGTAATGACCTGTTTACTTCTATCTACACTACATCATAAATTCATCTCTCACTTGCTGCATACTCTTGGCCTGAGTTTTTCTCTATTATTGCTTTCTAGGTTCTCCCCTCCTATTAAGTATCTGTTCTGTTTGGTTTTCCCCAAATGTACTAAGTCTACGTTTCTATGTGGATCCCACGGCGTGATTTCTCTCTGTGATCCCATTTGCACTAATGTCACCTCCACTGTTTCTCTGTAGTGGATGTTCACGTCATCTCAAAGAATATTATCTATGAATATTATTTGCATGCTTTGCAAAAACTGAACGGTATCAGAGGCAGGTATTTGGTCTGGTCCCTCACTAAACATCTCCCTTCCTCTCAATATTTTACTATCCACCAGTTTGCTTTCTTCATGGTTCTCTAGTCCATTTTTGTTTTGCGTGATATTCACTAAGACACTGTTTAAAGGGGATTTCACAATTTCCTACTCACCGTCCGTTATGAGTGCTCTGCTTGTGAGGACCCTTCCCAACATAAATTTGATCACTGCCAAGATAGTGCAAAGGATTCCACTTAATACAGAGACACTGTACAGAAAGTCATCCTGAAAAAGAAGATAGCAGATATTAGCTTCTCTTTTGCACCTGTCATATACGTTCAATGACAAATGTTACTTTGAAATAGTATTAGATCTACTGAATTATCCAAAAAAAGAAAAATGAACGAAACTTCTTTAACTGAGATTTTCACCCCACCAGAAGGTCTCTCTGCTGTGTCTATTTGTTTCACCAGTCATGACTAAGATGGGCTCAAGCAATAACTTTTGGGCCCCAACCCAAACGACTCAGCATGCGGGTAGCCTGGCTGGCTGAAGGGTGCTTTCTTGCCTAACTATTGCCCGCTGTGGGGTGGGGTATAAATGGGGAGGGGAAGATAAAGGACTGAGTTAAAGCCATCCAGCCATACTTTCCTTTGTTGATTTTCACCCGAGTAACAATATCAGCTGTAAGTGTGCAACTCATTAAAAACAAGAAGGATAAAAAACAACTTAAATTCTGGTTGCCATGAAATTAATATAAGGTGTGTTACTGACTTGTGCAAGACCAGGATGTGGCCTTCAGAAAACAATCTGCCATTGACTTATTTTGATACTTGGGGGAGGGGGTCTCTAAAGGTATGTCAGGGGTGTGCAGTGCAGCACTGGGATACCAGAGCTAGCTCATCTGATCTGGGATTAATTGTCCTGGTTTTGATCAGAGCAGCAGCGGCATAGCTGCATTTACACACATAATCCTTCCAAGCGGTCTTGCTGCTCTTCTGCCAGCAGGTGGCCAGTGAGAACATGACAGGTCCCTGGAAGGATTTGCACGTAAGTTAAACAAGCTGCTATTAGCTTACAGACACACAGTGCAAGATCCCAGGGTAACAGGAAAAAGTGTCAGTGCATTTTATCTGGCATACTGCACAAGTTCCAGGACAAAAGGCTTTCTCCTAGGAGAAACATCTCAGAGATGTACAACATCGCCTCAGGGACTGGAGGCAATCTAACCACCCTAGCACAGACTCCACCACTGGTGGGTTGACCCTGCTGAGCAGTTTTGTATAACCGCGTACTCATCGATACAAATACCATATTGTTCCGATTACAAGTGTCCCCTTTTCCATCTTCTAGGAAGACTGTAAAAACTGCACTCAAATTATATGAGAGGGTGAACCCATAATGAAGCCTCGTATTGCCTTGACTTTTATATTACGGTATTTCTGTGCGTTCATTAAAAATGCAAAGTTAGAATGTTTCCA